AAATAGAAAATTGCTGAATTTTTATACGACTGCAAATAAATTTTGCGGTCGTATATTGGTATGACGTTGGCGTCGTCGTCGTTGTCGTCGTCGTCGTCCGAAGACACATTGGTTTTCGCACTCTAACTTTAGTTTAAGTGAATGGATCTCTTTAAAATTTTACCATAAGGTTCAATACCACAAAAGGAAGGTGGGGATTGATTTTGGGGGTTATGGTACCAACAGTTAAGGAATTAGGGGCCAAAAATAAGCATTTTTGTAACTTCCATACATAACTTGTGTGTTAGTGTATGGATCTCTCTGACATTGTTTCACAAGGTTCCATATCACAAAGAGAATGCTGGGAGATTGATTTTGGGGGTAACTGCCTCCAAAGTTTAGGAATTATGGGCAAAAAAGGGGCAAAAAACAAGCATTTTTCTAGTTTCATGACAATAACTTGTGTGTAAGTGTATGGATCTCTTTGACATTGTACCACAAGGTTCCATATCACAAAGGGAATGCTGGGATTGATTTTGGGGGTAATTGCCTCCAAATTTTAGGAATTAGGGGCCAAAAAGGGGCAAAAAAACAAGCATTTTTCTAGTTTCAAGACAATAGCTTGTGTGTAAGTGTATGGATCTTTATGAAATTGTACTACAAGGTCATATCACAAAGGGAAAGCTTGAATTGAGATTGGGGGTAATTGCCCAAAACGTTAAGGAATAAGGGGCCAAAAATAAGCATTTTTCTAGTTTCCAGACAATAACTTGTGTTCAAGTGTATGGATCTCTCTGAAATTGTACTGCAAGGTACCATAACACAAAGGGAAGGCTGGGATTGATTTTGGGGGTAATTCCCTCATAATTTTTAGGAATTAGGGGCCATAAAGGGGCAAAAAAACAAGCATTTTTCTAGTTTCAAGACAATAACTTGTGTGTAAGTGTATGGATCTTTATGAAATTGTACTACAAGGTTCCATATTACAAAGGGAAAGCTGGGTTTGAGTTTGGGGGTAATTGCCCTAAACGTTTAGGAATTTGGGGCCAAAAAACAAGTATTTTTCTAGTTTCCAGACAATAACTTGTGTTCAAGTGTATGGATCTCTGAAATTGTACTGCAAGGTACCATAATACAAAGGGAAGGCTGGGATTGAGTTTGGGGGTGATGAATCATAAGGGGGTTCAAAAAATTGGGGGGGATTTCTTTTCCATTTTTTTTTCTTTAAAATTTTCCATTTTAAATTGGTTATTTCTGATTTATATATAAAAGCAAATAATAATGATATGGTTTGAATAGGTAAATTACAAATTTTTAAGTTCTTAGACCACATTCATTCTGTGTCAGAAACCTATGCTGTGTCAAATATTTAATTACAATCCAAATTCAGTGCTGTATCAAGCTTGAATGTTGTGTCCATACCTGCCCCAACTGTTCAGGGTTCGACCTCTGCGGTCGTATCAAGCTGCGCCCCAGCATTTTATTAGTTACTGTTCTCTACTAAAGTTAGCCTCAACCAAATGTTTTGAGACTTACACACAAGGCTTATTACCACAAAACTCAGATCAAGTTCAAATATGGGTAGCGTCACTTTTACCGTTCTTCAGTTATTCTAAATGCCTTCACATATTGAGCTGATTATTAGTATGTGAGTCTACTATGATGAGTTACAGATGGAGTTCTCATTTGGTTCCGCTCCACTGATTTTTGCCGAAATAACAGGCTTTGACTTTGAAAATTTCATGAAAATAACAGTTATACAGACTTTTCTAAACCCCTTCGTTTATTTGAGCTAATTTTTGTCGAGCCTGCGACTTTTGTCGCAGAAAGCTCGACATAGGGATAGCGATCCGGCGGCGGCGGCGGCGGCGGCGTTAGCTAACTTCTTAAAAGCTTTATATTTTAGAAGATGGAAGACCTGGATGCTTCATACTTTGTATATGGATGCCTCATGTTACGAAGTTTCCGTCAGTCACATGTCCAATGTCCTTGACCTCATTTTCATGGTTCAGTGACTACTTGAAAAAAAAGATCAGATTTTTTGTAATGTTAAATTCTCTCTTATTATAAGTAATAGGATAACTATATTTGGTATGTGCGTACCTTGCAAGGTCCTCATGCCCGTCAGACAGTTTTCACTTGACCTCGACCTCATTTCATGGATCAGTGAACAAGGTTAAGTTTTCGTGGTCAAGTCCATATCTCAGATACTATAAGCAATAGGTCTAGTATATTCGGTGTATGGAAGGACTGTAAGGTGTACATGTCCAACTGGCAGGTGTCATCTGACCTTGACCTCATTTTCATGGTTCAGTGGTTATAGTTAAGTTTTTGTGTTTTGGTCTGTTTTTCTTATACTGTATGCAATAGGTCTACTATATTAGGTGTATGGAATGATTGTAAGGTGTACATGTCTAGCTGGCAGGTGTCATCTGACCTTGACCTCATTTTCATGGTTCAGTGGTCAAAGTTAAGTTTTTGAGTTTTGGTCTTTTTTTCTAATACTGCATGCAATAGGTCAGCTATATTTGGTGTATGGAATGATTGTAAGGTGTACATGTCTAGCTGGCAGGTGTCATCTTACCTTGACTTCATTTTCATGGTTCAGTGGTCAAAGTTAAGTTTTTGAGTTTTGGTCTTTTTTTCTAATACTATATGCAATAGTTCAACTATATTTGGTGTATGGAAATATTTTATGATCTATATGTCAGTCACGCAGGTTTTATTTGACCTTGACCTCATTTTCAAGGTTCATTGCTCAGTGTTAAGTTTTTGTGTTTTGGTCTGTTTTTCTTAAACTATAAGCAATAGGTCAACTATATTTGTTGTATGGAAGAATTGTTAGCTGTACATGCCTGCCTAGCATGGTTCATCTGACCTTGACCTCATTTTCATGGTTCATTGGTCAATGTTTAGTTTACTTGGTTAATGTGAAGTTTATGTGACAGTTGTAATAAAGCTTTATATTTAGGACTATCAACATAATATCAATGATTAGTAAAGAAGGCGAGACATTTCAGGGTGTGCACTCTTGTTAGTATGTGAGTCTCCTATGATGAGTTACAGATCAAGATGAGGTTTGGTTCCGTTCTGCTAATTTTTGCCGAAATTACAGGCTTTGGAAGGAGTAGGCCCGGTAAAACCCCTTTTTGGCCCTAAAATATTGCATTTTTATAAATTTGTTGAAATGCAAACTTTTAGCTCTTTATTGAAAAGTAGAATACTTCTGTTCAATAAATATTGACCATACAATGCACATGCATCATAAATTCATGCAAAATTACAGAAATCTTCACAATTGTAGCATTTGTGTTAATTTTAAGACGGTTTTTGTCTAAAATGGAAGTGACCGCATTTGTGTTCAGTCTTAATATTTAAAAATATGTTGTATTTAATGATAATACATAACATATATAAAGGTTGAGACTGAACACGAATGCTGCCACTTCCATTTCAGACAAAAACCATCTAAAAAGTGACGTTTTGTGGCATATTTGATAGATTTTTCATATTTAAGCTTGAATTTGAGCGTCTTTAATGACCAAATCAGTTCAATCTTCAACATAAACTTATTGAATCGACTGAAGTAGACACTTAAGTGTTTAAGAAATGTTTAAAATCTTTCATCAGATGTACTTCGAATTTTAGGCCAAAACTAGCCCTTATCGGACTTTCTCCTTTCTGGAAAAAAAACAGTTATACGCACTTTCATTCACAAATTTCCACTCCTAAAAATGGTTTCAAGCTCTTTTTTTGCTAGCGGGGCTATTCTTGTCATTCTGACACATCTAGTTTTTTTTTTTTTTAATAATATATATAAACACATATTTTCAACAAAAAAATTGTTTATCTGTATACAAAATATTAAATGTTGCAGAAACGTCAGCTCACTCTCTTTTATCTTTGGGTGTTCCTGATAAAGGTAATAGTAAATCCAGAAAAAGCTCTTCAGATAAACCAAATAGTAACTTTTATTTTCATTTAAGAAACTCTTGTTGTAGGAGAAATATTTCTATGCTGACTTCTGATGTAACTGGCATATAAATGATAATTTGTTGTATTGTGTCTGTGTCTCATCTCGGGAGTGACATGTTTTCATAGTCTTAGATCTTTAGATACCAGAATAGTCATTTGATCTGTAATTTACCAATTGTGATTTATTCCTCATTGAGATGTTTCGACTGAGATTGGATTCACATGGCAGTTGATGGATGCATAGCAGGAAACACTTATTCTGTTGATGTACTGGATCATGCTTCTTGTGGAGTTCATATGAGCTCTCAGTTTTGTTTGCTACCTTGATTGTATATTTTTAATCGGTTTTGTGTTTGAACAACTGTTGCATTAATTTATTACCTCCCTACAATTGAATTGGAGTATAATGTTTTCTTGTCGTCGGCATTCTTCCCTTATCGGTTTCATGTTTTAGTTAAAAATTTCAATTAAGGTAGTTTGTGGTCACATTTAAATAGTTAACATATGTTTAATATGTAGTGAAATGTTTAATATATAAGGATAAGGAGATGTGGTATGGTTGGCAATGAGACAACTTTCCAACTAAGTTCAAATGAATTGGATGTAAGCAAAACATGTTTATATCTGACTACACAATGATATGTGGTTGTATATTATGAAAATAAGGATTTATCAAGGATGATATTTTGGAATTATAATTATTTTAAAACCAGCAAGATTTTTAAGTTGTTAGGTGTTAAATATGTCTCATTTTGCAAATGCCCAGTCAGTGATAAAGGCTTTTGAGCAATACTACAATTATGTGAATTAAACGTAGTTTTGGTGTAATTCTGAAAAAGTATTGGTTTCAATTTTTGTTTAACTTAGTCTGGTGGATAGTTGTATCATTAGCAATTATACCATAGCTTCTCTTTTGTTTTTCACTTTAATGTATCATAGTTTCTTCTTCTTCAATGTTTTCCAGTGTGTTTGTTTATAAGGACAGTAACGAATGATCAGGAAAAAAAGATACTCATTTTGATAAAGTCAGCTTGTTTTTGTTTCAGTTGGAATCAAGACAAGAAAATACCATTGTGACCCATTATCAACAGTCCAACACAGATACAAGAAATACAAGTGAACAAGATAGTATCGATGACGATACAACTAAACTTTTGAGTGAAACACCAGAAGCCAGGAGAGAAAACAGGCCTTGGTTGCAAAATTCAAAAACAAATGAAGGAACACACAATTTGCTTAAGTACATGTGTAACGTTGAAGTTGCTGTTCATGAGGAGGAAAATCTAGATCTATTTTAACCACCTAGATGAAATACATGTAGGAGACTATGACAAGGAATGATATTATTATAAGAATAAAGACTAGTTTCTGTGTAAATAATTCAGACTTGATCATTAGTTGATTTATATTTTACTGAATTTTTATGTTACATATATGTGCACATATAAGGTTTTTGAAAGACACAAGTTGCTTGCTTTTATATAGGGATTTTCCTTTTCATTCTTAGTTAAACAGTTACTTTTCAACTATCATGGTAAAAGGATTTATTTCCTTAACATTTCAGGCATTGATCCCCTTGCCATTGAATGCATTAAAACTAGAGTTGACACAGATTAGTTTTTTTGTGTGTATTTCTATACAATGTACTAAATTGAGCCTTTACCAATTGTTATAATTGCGTTTGCTGATAAATTATTGTCTATTGTCTATTATCATAATTCAACTTGTATATTTGTTTAAATTCTTGTAGAAAATATACCTATGATGGTCTGTCCTTATTAAGATCAATCTAGCATACAAATATATTATCACCTAAAACATTGGTTTACATGAAGCTGTATTGGAAATTTCAATAAACTTTACCTGCAAAATTTTCAGGTTATTTCAGATAACATTAGCATTCTGATTTCTCATCGAGTAGTAAATATGACTGTTGTAATAATACATTTATATAACATAACCTTAAAAATCTTTTTATTCCCCACCTAGGGGCATTATGTTTTCCGGTCTGTGCATCTGTTCGTTCGTCTGTCTGTCCTGCTTCAGGTTAAAGTTTTTAGTCGAGGTAGTTTTTGATGGAAGTTGAAGTCCAATCAACTTGAAACTTAGTACACATGTTCCCTATGATATGATCTTTCTAGTTTTAATGCCAAATTAGAGTTTTGACCCTAATTTGACGTTCCACTGAAATAGAAAATGATAGTGCGAGTGGGGCATCTGTGTACTATGGACACATTCTTGTTATTTTTTATATTATATATCTAAGAATAATGTGTTTGAAATTATTCATTGATGGTTTCAGATATCTAACATTACTTTCAGTATTACTATTTAGAATCATTTTATCTCCTCTAACACCTTTGGGTCAGTTTAAACAATCTTTGCAATAATGATCAACAAATGGTTCTTGTTCTGTTTCGTTTGGAAATAAACCATGGCTTCCAGAGGCAATGTATGCATGAGGTATGGTATTTTCAAAAGTCTTCTATGAAATTCTTTGAAACTTCAAGGCGAAATGTTTTGAGAGTTTACTTCCAGGATTGTTTATTGGGAGCCCAGGTTCTAAAACTGAAAGGAAGATTGCAACCAAACTTTGAGATTGATGTATCATAAGTCTCTTCATACTGACCTCTTTTGACTATGATTAGATGACAAAGCTTGCCCCGAGATGCAAGGTTTTATTCTGATTGGCCAGTTTTCTAAATCTCTGAAACTACAAGGCGAAATGCTTTGAAATTCTAATGTTGATGATTGGGGTACCTGCTATAGAATATTTTCTCGTTCATTGATAGATGGTAAACATGGCGGCATTGGTGATAAATAGTTTACATTTCAAATTTGGAAAATTACATTTATATCTCTGAAACCACCAGATCAATGAAAATACGTAACAGAAAAACCTCTTAATGCATAATTCATTTTTTATATCGAATTATTCTTTATCGTTTTTATTGGTGTAGGATAAACTTCTGTCTTAATCATACAAAACTTCTCATTTGTTTAAGTAAAATCACAGTTGATAAAGCATCACGTTGTATTCCTTATATTTTTAAGTATACAAATTCTTATGATATGTCATTCTTTCATTGGTTGTCCTTCTTTTTTTTTTACAAATATACAAACCCTGTTTGTTAAGCATATCTGCATATGTTGATGAATATTTACAGAAAGCATCTAAACTTTGTTAAAATAATGAGCCAAAAATGTTGACTTTAGGGAAATTAATCTTCCCCTCCTTTTTTAAAGTTTGAACAATATGGAAACCCCTGACCCTTAGTGATTCAATCTGGTATTTATAGTAACATTATATACATTTAGCACTTCTTGGTTCTTCTGGGAATTATTTTGATGCATTGTAACAATATATATATAAACATTCATTATTAATAAATAAAACAATACAATAGTGTATATTTGATAATGTGCAGTTATGAATCTTTGCTAGAATGAAAATGAATTCAGTATAGATATGTAATCAAAGCTAGTACTTTGCCAATGCCTGACTTGGTTATTCATAATGTTAGTTTAGGGAACTAGCTGGTTTCTTTTTAAGAATGACATACAGATCATATAGCATATAGATCTGGTCACCCATGAAATAACAATGCATACTGATCTTCACCATTCATCCATTTTAAAGGCTGATAAGCTGATTTTTGATTGGTTCTGGTTATTGTTTTAACATGAAATCTCTCCGCCTCTGTACTGGAAATCTATCCCTTTGTACAAAATTTGAATCGTCATTTGGCTGTATTGGATCTATTATTTTTTTATACGCCCGTCAAATTTTTGACGGGACGTATTATGGTATACAAATGTCCGGCGTCCGTCTGTCTGTCTGTCTGTCCGTCCGTCTGTCTGTCTGTCCGTCTGTCTGTCCGGCGTAAACATGTCGCACCGTAACTTGAGAATGACTTATCCAAATTTCATGAAACTTAACATAGTTGTTTCTTACGATGGTCAAACGATCTGTATACTTTTTGGTGATAATAAGATTAAAACTTTTTGAGTTACGGGACTTAGTAACTAAAACAGGTGTGTGTATTTTTTCACATGTCGCGCCGTATCTCAAAAACAATTTATGATTATTGCTTAAAACTTTACACACTTTTTAGTTATATTAATCTTAAGATCTGTATACTTTTTGGTGATGATTCAAAATTTTATTTTAGAGATATTGAGTATTTTGTTAAAAAAGGGGGAGGGGTTTTTCACATGTCGCGCCGTATCTCAAAAACAGTTTATGACTATTGCTTAAAACTTTACACACTTCTTAGTTATATTAACCCTAAGATCTGTATACTTTTTGGTGATGATTCAAAATTTTATTTTTGAGTTATTGAGTATTTTGTAAAAAAAGGGGAAGGGGTTTTTCACATGTCGCGCCGTATCTCAAAAACGATTTATGATTATTGCTTAAAATTTTACACACTTAGTCATATTAATCTAAAGATCTGTTTACTTTTTGGTTTTGATTCAAAATTTTATTTTAGAGATGTTGTGTTTTTTGTAAAAAAAAAAGGGGGGGGGGGTTTCGCATGTCACGCCGTATGTCAGAAACTATTTATGCTTATTGCATAAAAATTCACACACAAGACGACGGGCGTATCATGCGCTCATGGCGCAGCTGTTTATTGTGATTCATCAGACATTTCAAAGAATTTTTGTAATTCATCAGACATTTCAAAGAATTTATGTTTGTTTTCTTGTAATGGTCGTTTTCTCTTTTTAAGGTAAATGTACCACATTTTCCTTATTTTTATACTAATAAATAAAAAATGTTGAATTATTCGAAACACCAAGGTTTTTTCCACCACCATGTACAGATTGCTTTCGCCTGTATTTGGCATAACTTTTTGGAATTTTAAGTATGTAATGCTCTGCAACTTCGTATTTGATTTGGCCTTTCAACTCAATTTGATCGCTTCTGACAAGTCTTATCCATACAAAAATTATATGCTTAACATATTTGATGAGTTTTATCCGTTGTGTTCTGTTTAAAGAAATTCTCTTCCCATTCAGTTTTTGGCATGATTGGAGTTTTACTTTGTAACAAAGTTACCCATACAGATGAAATAATATTTTTCAACATCTTCAGGTGTAATATGTTAATTTTTAATCTTTTTACAAAATAACATTCCTTTATCGCCTGGTAAATATGTAGGTTTAAGTTAGTTTCTGCTGTTGTTTTTCTTGAGGTTACAAGGTCTTTGGTAAATTAAATCAGGTATTCTGTGTGATTTTTATGCAATGACGTCTTTGGTATCGATGCTAAATCAATAGGTCCTCTTTAAAGGAGTATCAGGTTTGAAAGTGTAGCTGGTGTCATTCTATATAATTTGCCAATCTCTCTGTTTTTCCAGTTTAGTTCTCAGAGTTTTAGGAAATATATGAGTTCATTCTTTCATATGCCGCGTTTCTTTGATGATGAAATACACTTGTACAATTACGTTTAATTGGCAGATGCTCATAAAGCTGACACAATCTTCGACCGAAAAATTAGTTCTTTGAGCCGAAATGATACAGCATGTGGCACCGAAGCCTGGTATTTTCTCTCTGAGAAGATGGGGCTACAAAGACATAATTAACCATTAGAATGCGATGTTTTGCTCTTTGTGTTAATTTACTAAGCCTTCGATAGTCCACAGCAAATATTGATACTTGTTATGTATCTCTATTAATTATCTTTTTTTTTTTTACAGAAAAACAGTTTGTGATGACAGGATAGTTCGATTGCTCAATAATGTTGTTTTGTAACTGTTTTTCGGTTTACACCCTTGTTTATAATGTTTGCCTATGGGGCACGAACTAAACTGGTGGTGCATCATCTGTATCAATTCTGTGATCATGTTACTTACTTTTACAACTATGACAGATCTTTGGTAAACACTTTTCTATCTCTTGTTGAATGTTCCGTTAATTATTTCTTTTGTATAACTTTCAGTTTATATGTATTTTTATCTTTAATTCTCGTATAACGCTTTGAGATTTAGATTTTGCTTAGTCTTTAGTTTTCTATGTTGTGTCATCTGTACTATTATTTGTCTGTTTGTCTTTTTAATTTTGGCCATGGCGTTGTCAGTTTGTTTTCGATCTATGAGTTTGACTTTTCCTCTGGTATCTTTCGTCCCTCTTTTATCAACTAAATTTTCCAAATAATTATTTTTTATCTAAGGTATAATACTATTTGTGTCTACTGAAAAAACCTGACCTATTCATATTTTTTTAAATTGTATACCGTTTCCAGAAGGATTTAAAATTCTATGCAAAGCCTTGACATTTAAAACATTTACTACAACTATTGAACCAACTAAAAATCTTAACATCATTTGGAAATTTGGTTCAAGAATTACTGTATTATTGTTGCTGTAAGCCTCTCATTTATACTCATTATTTTTGTGGGTACTTGTTCTATTGCTACTGGTTTGGCATTTGAATTAGTCCCATTATTGTCATTATTATTTAACGGGACATTCAATAAAATTTCTCGAATAGATAAGGTATTATCCAACTCGATAGGAGCTGCATCTGGTGCTGCAGTTGAATGTTATTACTACAACTGGGTCGATACCTCTGCTGGTGGACTGTTAATCCCGAGGGTATCACCAGCCCAGTAGCCAGTACTTCGATACTGACATGAACATACGGATATTCTGTTATTAGGATTAGCTGTTACAAAATTTTGATACTATTTTAATAAATTAAGGAATATATCTCCCTCACGCAAATCCCTTATTCCTGCCCGGCTATGGCTATACTGTTTGTCCTTTTTGCTCACCTTGCCCACAGGGCCAAGTGAGCTTTTCTTATCACTTGGTGTCTGTCGTCCATGGTCATCGTCGTCGTCTTCCTAACCTTTACAAAAATCTTTTCCTCTGAAATTACTGGACCAAATTTAACCAAACGAGGGCACAATCGTAATTGAGTTATTTAAGTTAGTACATTAGTTTGAAAAATAACCGCCATGCAAGTTTTGCCTGTATCTTGAAAACCGCTATAGATAGAAAAAAATGGCAGTGGCAGAAATGTTTAGAATGTTGAGATCTACCTACTATCTATTTACATCAAAACTGTCGGACTACTTTTACAAAAGTTATTGTCCTTAAATGACAGTTTTTACCTCTTTTATTTTTTTGCCTTTTTTGCCGAATATCTTTAATTAAGACTGTCATAGATAGATACAACCGTTGTATAGCAAAAATGATCAGCAGGACAAGATCTATGATTAAGTCAACACTGCTGAAATCGTCCGACCACTCCAAGTTTTTTTCCCTTTAATGACGATTGTTTCCAACTTGTTTGCGTGTTTTGCCTTATATCTTAAAAATTATAAGTAGACAAATAAAAAACTTATAAGCAAAGTAAGAGAAGATCAAGTATTTTAAGATAATATTGGGGAAATCGTTCGTCTACTCCATATTTGTATTTTTTCCTTTAATAACGGTATTTACAATTATTTTTTTGTGTTTTTGCCTATTATCTCGAAACCTACGAAAGATAGACACTTTAAATAGCAAAGATGATCAGCAAGACAAGATCTACAGGTAACTCAATTAATTCTAATCAATTAAATTGTTTTACCGAAATCATTAGAAGGCACTTTATCAGAGTGATTGCCAACGATTTTTTCGGCGTTTTGCATTTGCGCCAATTTATAGTTTCATTTGCGCCAATTCTTTTTTTTTTTTTTTTATTCATTTGCGCCAATAATTTTTTTTCCCGCCAATAAACAGGTAAACGCAAGTAAAGTTGTACATAATTTATTGATAAAATAACACAAATCTCACTTCCGCCTGTCATCTGCCCCTGATCACCACGGGGAGTGGAAGTGGAATTTCTAGCAGGATCAAATAATTGTAAAAGATTTATACATTACACGAATGATAGCCTTTTTATAATAAAATAGTTAAAAGTAAAATCACAAAAAAAACTTCAAAACGGAAAGTCCCTAATCAAATGGCAAAATCAAAAGCTCAAACACATCAAACGAATGGACAACTGTCATATTCCTGACTTGGTACAGGCATTTTCTTAAACAGTTCGTCGTCGTAAACATTTCAAAGATCTTTTATGAAACCACTGAATCAATTTCAACAAATCTCAGATTGAATAATCCGTGGGTATCTAGTATGAAGCTGATATTCTTTTATTTTGTAAGACAACAAACTATGCCGCCATGGCTGAAAATCGAACTTAAGGATAAAATGCATTATTTGTCGTATAATTTGAATATCATAAATGATAGAAAATGTGACAGATTAGAAATACTCAGGACGTCACCGTTTTTTCCCTTTTCGCTCCATAATTATCAAATGACTCCGAAAGCAGTTATCGTCATTCAAGACGATTTTGACGATTTTTTTGTGTTTTTGCCAAAACTGAAAATTAGAATGGACAAGTTTAATAACGACTAAAATGACCACCAATACAGATCTATAAAAATGCCAATATGATCAAAACCATTGGATGACTCCTTAAGGAATGATAATAACATTAGATGTATGTTTCTTTATTATACGTTATTTTGATTGGCTAACAGCAATCTCGCGTCATTCTTCATTTCAAGATGAATTTCATGAATTGTAACATACATGATTACACACGTTTCCACAATAAAGTGCACAGGTAAATAAAAGAAACAAATGATAGTAATCGTGTTTGCATGATCATAGCGAAAAAATTTAATTATGAGTATTGAATGCTTCTTTTAGTAATTTCATAGGGTTGTAAAAGCGTTGACCGTGCGTACATTTTTAATTTTTAGAATGAAGAGCTTCCTACAAAATGTACTTCGGTCAACGCTTTTACACCCAAATGAATTTACAAAAAGAAGCATTCAATTCTTAAATAATCTTTAGTTCAAGATTTTGACGGAAGTTTTGCATTTGCCTGTTGAACTATTAAAAGCCTTTGATAGTCCACAGCGAATCTTGATACTTGTTATGTATCTCTATTAATTTTGGTTTTTTTTTACAGAAAAACCGAATTTGTGATGACAAAGGATAGTACGATGGCTCAATAATGTTGTTTTGTAACTGTTTTTAAAGGCAGTGCTTTAATGCCTTTCTAGTTGCTGGGTTAATCCTTCCTTCCGCGATAGCCAACTTATCTACGTGGGGGGTCATTAGACTCCAAGTAGATCCGGACATGTTGAATTCTCTGCTCTTCTTATTGCGATATAAAATGTTTTTTGTTTCATTTCATTTACATTGGGAAATAGAGAAACGATCATTGTGTTTTGTTAGTTTTAAAAACTTTTGATATATTAGTATTTTGCATTATAAGCAGTCAACCGATTGACAAACTAGAATTATTTGAATTCCGTGTGGAAAGAGCTCGGGTTAATTTCGAGTGTTATCTGCAATCTAGATGTTTATAAATCATTTCAGTCGTTGATATAATAATTAAAGGTCGACTGAACATGAATTATATTATACAATTTAAAGCGCAATTCTGTTTATGCACGTGAACCCGTCTAACGTTATTTTCGCAGTTATATAAAGTAGCAAATTATCGTTCCTGAATAGGTGGCGCCGTGGTTGCGGATCCTGTTCCTCTACTTCCGGTTTCTGCACTGTGCAACTATTTCAGTTATATTTTTAATTAACGATGCCAAGTACTTGTTGTTGTGTACCTGGATGTCATTTAAGAGGAGGACATGCAATTTCCAAATGACTTAAAAAGAAGGAAAAGTTGGATCAACGCCATGGCCCATACGCAGATTGGACGAGAACACGATGATATCGTGGAGTCCATCTCAATCAGCTGTTGTTTGCAAGGCACGTTTTACTGAAAAAGTCTACGTGCAGGAAACTTTTCATGGTAAAACTCTATTTTCTTTGTGAAATATATAGTTATATATGTAATCGCCATGCGAATAAACCAAAGTCTTTTAACAACCGCAATTATCGTTTTAGAATAAAAGGGGGTGGGTAATTCAAGACGTCATAATTTTTTGGATTACGATTCAATGTGATCTGTTTGAGATTTTTTGGTGATTGCTACAATTATAATGATTTCTTACAAGAGGTATATCATACTGAGAATTATTTTAGCAGTAATTATGCTAATGTAGTAATGACAGGAATGCATAAGCTATGCCTCATAGACTTTCTTGAAAAATATCAATGACAATGTTAACAGGAACAAAACAATGACATGCTCTCATCTATATTATAGTTATTTAGGTACAAACAATGTACGTTTGTTGCATAAGTCTCTCATTGTTTGTCCTTTGGATTTACATAACATACATTGAATCAGGCAAACATAAGTTTTATCCAGATTGTAATGAATAAATCTAGTTAATATTTCGCCAGGTAGTACAAAGTATACATTGCTAATGGAAGTTCATTTAATTATAAAAAAACTAATGTTTTATAACCTTTTTCAGGGCGCAAACCCACCATACAGAGACTTAAGTCTACTGCAATTCCCAGCCTATTTTCCTGGACCAAGCAAGAGACTGAATCGTCCGCAAAAAGAAAAATCAGGGCAGTTTCCTGTGAAAACAAAAGAACTAAACTTGATGAATATTGTAGTAGAAATCTAGAGGAAAGTTTTGATTGTAAAGTTGGTTTTCCTGAAGAAGTCATTCATACTGCAGAAAGGATTTATGACTGTCCACCACCAACTGCCGAGCTAATGTTGAGCTTCACAGATGGAATTACGCAAACACCATCAATGCCTATGTTTTCAGCAGAGAATTTTGAAATGAAGACACGTGACACAGCCATGCATTTTTATACCGGTTTAGAGTTGTATACTAAATTTTTATTTGTTTTGACCACACTTGGTCCAGCAGCACATTGTTTGAGATACATATATTTTCAAATTGATAGGGTGTCAGTTGAAAATCAGTTTTTTTATGACTTTGATGAAATTGAGGCATCATACAACCAACTTTGAACTGTCTAGATTCTAGATTGAATCTAGTGTTAAGAATATTGTGTATACATGGATTGTTTTTATGTCTAAACAGTGGTGTGAGGCTAACACTTGGCCATCTAGTGGTATAGTCAGGTATTTTTCACCATCCAACTTCAAATTAAAGTTTCCTACGACTTGGATTATTATTGACAGCACAGAATATCCCGTGATAAAACCTAAAGCTCCTAGAGCTCAGGCAACCTTTTCATCAAATAAAAACAGAAACACTGAAAATTCTTGAATGTTCGACACCTGGTGGTTTAGTCAACTATGTCTCTATGTCACATAGAGCGAATTATTGGACTTGGCAAAACATACAAAATTCTAATAAATCCTATGAATGGAACTGAAACAAAACTTTCATCTGAAATAACATTTAGTTGTTTTATGTTGTGTAATTTTAGAACTTGTATTGTGCCAAAGGATGCATAAATAAAAGTGACGCAATGAATTTTGTTCTGATATATATATATTTACAATTACATGCACATGTAAATTGTAATGCATATAAAAATAAGGAGATGTGGTATGATATTCAGTGAGTTAATCAAACTAAAGTGCATAAGAAATGGGTTTAAGCAGTTACAGGTGTTACTGTCACCGTACAATCTCCAACAATGAGAAAAACTCATACCCTGTAAAAAATTTCAGAGATCTTACAACTAAGTTTTGTTGTCTCACCTTGACTTTGGTGAATTTTTTATATCTGTTGATGTAAATATAAAAAAGAAGATGTGGTATGATTGCCAATGAGACAACTCTCCACACATGCACAAGAGACCAAATGACACAGAAATTAACAGCTATAGGTCACAGTACGGCCTTCAACAATGAGCAAAGCCCATACCGCACAGTCAGCTATAAAAGGCCCAGAAATGACAATGTAAAACAATTCAAACAAGAAAACTAACGGCCTATTTTATGTAAAAAAATGAACAAATATAACAAATATGCAACACATAAACAAACGATAACCACTGAATTACACTTTTATAGGCTCCTGACTTGTGACAGGCACATACATGTACATACAGAATGTGGCGGGCTTAAACATGTTAGCGGGATCCCAATCCTCCCCCTAACCTGGGACAGTGGTGTAACAGTACAATATAAGAAAGAACTATAAAAATCAGTTGAAAGAGGCTAAACTCATCAGATGGATAAATACAAATACAAGTGGACGTGGTCGGGTAGTTGTACATCCAAACAACAAAAAGACACTAAGTACAAATCTGAGAGTACTCGCAGTTACTGACAGCTAGTTCAAAGCCACTAACAACTGATAAAAAAATCTTGCATCTAAGACTAAATTATCATTCCGTAAGCTCCCTTTAGAATTTTATAAATTTGAGATTTTACATTTCTGAGTTATGGGGTTTTATTCATTAAAAAAGGGGGATTTTCCAGTTTTTGGACAACAACTCAAAAATACTTTAAGCAGTTCACATGAAACTTTGGTGAATTATTTATAGCTATTGATGTAATCTCCCTATTGATTTTCATAAATTTCAAATATGACATTGAGAAGAAATTGAACTTTATTTGTTTATAGTCTGGCAACAGATTTATTAAGTATTGCACAACAGCACAGTGTATTGCACAACAGCAAGAAATCTTTAATTGAATATAAATTCAATTCATATAACCGATTTCAAGTTCATTGACTACATTTATTCAGAAACTATAATATGTCAAATATTTATTTACAATCCAAATTCAGACCTGTATCAAGCTTGAATATTGTGTCCATTTTTGCCCAGCTGTTCAGGGTAGTACCTCTGCGGGTGTATCCAGCTGCGCTCAGCGAATCAGTTTATTTCTTAATTAAGAACTCCTTTTTATACAACCGCAAAAAAATTTTTGTGGTCGTATATTGGTATGACGTTGGCGTCGTCATCGTTGTCGTCGTCGTCCGAAGACACATTAGTTTTCGCACTCTAACTTTAGTTTAGGTGAATGGATCTCAATGAAATTTTAAAATAAGGTTCAATAACACAAAAGGAAAGTGGGGATTGATTTTGGGGATTATGGTACCAACAGTTAAGGAAAAAGGGGCCAAAAATAAGCATTTTTGTAACTTCCAGACATAACTTGTGTGTAAGTGTATGGATCTCTCTGACATTGTACCACAAGGTTCCATATCACAAAGGGAATGCTGGGATTGATTTTTGGGGGTAATTTACTCCAAATTTTAGGAATTAGGGGCCAAAAAGGGGCAAAAAACAAGCATTTTTCTAGTTTCATGACAATAACTTGTGTGCAAGTCTATGGATCTCTCTGACATTGTATCACAAGGTTCCATATCACAAAGGGAATGCTGGGATTGAATTTGGGGGTAATTGCCTCCAAATTTTAGGAATTAGGGGCCAAAAAGGGGCAAAAAACAATCATTTTTCTAGTTTCATGGCAATAACTTGTGTGTAAGTGTATGGATCTTTATAAAATTGTACTACAAGGTTCCATATCACAAAGGGAAAGCTGGAATTGAGTTTGGGGGTAATTGCCCAAAAAGTTTAGGAATAAGGGGCCAAAAATAAGCATTTTTCTAGTTTCCAGACAATAACTTGTGTTCAAGTGTATGGATCTCTCTGAAATTGTACTGCAAGGTACCATACCACAAAGGGAATGCTGGGATTGATTTTGGGGGTAATTGCCTCCAAATTTTAGGAATTAGGGACCAAAAAGGGACAAAAAACAAGCATTTTTCTAGTTTCATGACAATAACTTGTGTGTAAGTCTATGGATCTCTCTGACATTGTATCACATGGTTCCATATCACAAAGGGAATGCTGGGATTGATTTTGGGGGTAATTGCCTCCAAATTTTAGGAATTAGGGGCCAAAAAGGGGCAAAAAACAAGCATTTTTCTAGTTTCATGGCAATAACTTGTGTGTAAGTGTATGGATCTTTATGAAATTGTACTACAAGGTTCCATATCACAAAGGGAAAGCTGGGTTTGAGTTTGGGGGTAATTGCCCTAAACGTTTAGGAATTTGGGACCAAAAAGGGGCAAAAAAACAAGCATTTTTCTAGTTTCCAGACAATAACATGTGTTCAAATGTATGGATCTCTCTGAAATTGTACTGCAAGGTACCATACCACATAGGGAAGGCTGGGATTGAGTTTCTGGGTGATGAATCATAAGGGGGTTCAAAAAATTTGGGGGGGGATTCTTTTTCCTTTTTTTTTTCTTTAAAATTTTCCATTTTAAATTGGTTATTTCTGATTTATATATAAAAGCAAATAATAATGATATGGTTTGAATAGGTAAATTAAATTTTTTTAAGTATCTTAGACCACTCTCATTCTGTGACAGAAACCTATGCTGTGTCAAATATTTAATTACAATCCAAATTCAGTGCTGAATCAAGCTTGAATGTTGTGTTCATACTTGCCCCAACTGTTCAGGGTTCGACCTCTGCGGTCGTATCAAGCTGCGCCCCAGCGGAGCATTTTATTTCATTCATAAATGACTTTATGCTTGGAAATATAATTTTGCTTGGAGTTGAAAGAGTTGACATGTTGAAATGTACATTTACTCTACATAGTTCTATGGTACCAAATCAAAAGTTTATATAAAGAAAGAAGTCAAAGGTTTCCCATCATAGTTTAGTTACATACATTTTTTTTGTACCTGAGGTCGTTGAATATAGATCATTATATAAATAAGGAGATGTGTTATGATTGCCAATGAAAAAACTAAGGATTTTCTTATCCAAGGAATAGATTACCTTAGCCGTATTTGGCACAACTTTTTGGAATTTTGGGTCCTCAATGCTCTTCAACTTTGTACTTGTTTGGCTTTGTTACTATTTTGATCTGAACGTCACTGATGAGTCTTATGTAGACGAAACACACGTCTGGCGTATTAAATTATAATCCTGGTACCTTTGATAACTAATTTGACTATAAACATAGATAAAAAAGGTACAAACTGGACATAATGCACTAGTTCATAAACAAGTGAGAACAATCGCCTTCATATAGTGCTCAGAATATGACATTCATAAAACTTATTCAATATCATTAGAGAACTCTAAATCTTAAATACTGAAAGCCACCTCTGATAAGTACACTGTACTATGCAAGATAATGATATAACTGGACTTAAAATACACACAACCTGTAATTAACTGCCTTTACAGCGCTTTCGTGCTTTGATTCTGTTTCCTCCCTTGCTTTTAATGTTTGCCAAAGGGGCATGAACTGAACTGGTGGTGCATCATCTATATCAATTCTGTGATAATGTTACTCTCTTTAACAACTATGACAGATCTTTTGCAAACGCTTTTTTTATTTCTTGTTGAAAGTTTCGTTAATTATTTCTTTTGATGTGAACTTAAAGTTTATATTTATTTTTTTTATCTTTGATTCTCGTATAACGCTTTGAGATTTATCATCTAAATTTATCAAATGATTATTTTATATATAGGGTATAATGCCATTTGTATCTCCTGAAAAAAACCTGACCTATTTATATTATTTTTAAATTTACAGGATCTACAAAAATGCCAATATTACCGAAACCATTGGATGACTCCTTAAGGAATGATAATCCTTTTAATTCAAGATTTTGACGGAATTTTTGCATTTGCCAGTTTTCTCAACTATTTTAAAGATAGAAAAAAAAATGTAAACATCAAAATTGGTCAGCAGTATAGGATCCACAAATAGCTTTATGATCAAAACCATTGGATGGCTTCTTAAGAATTAGTATCTTAATATGACGATTCTGGATGATTTTTCGTCTTTTTGTCACATATCTCTAGAACCTAAATATTTTAGATAAAAATCTGCAAACGATGATCCGGATATACAAGAAAGCTAATAAAGCCGAAACCATTGTACTGGAAGTTGTTGCCCTTATAACATGTACATTTTCGACAAATTTCTATAAATGATAATGAAAAACTGTAAAAGATAGGTAGGCACTGTAAGAAGCAAAATTGATCAGCTATATAAGAGCTACTAAATTGCTAATATAGCTGACTGTAACCACGCGATATTGCGATATTGTGTATTGCAACAATAAAACCTATATTCTAAGATCGGGAAGTCAAAAGTTAACCAAATCAAGACGAGATTGCAATACAAATACATTTTATTCATTGATAGAAACAAATCGTATACGTTTTTGTTGGCAGTGCATTTTGTGGAGTATATAAAACAATGGAAAGTTTGAGATTTAAA